TTTCTCGCCATTTTCACGCCGCTCCGATAACGCGCCCGCCGTCTGTGGTATATCACGCGCTCATCGCTCAGCTCGTTAACCTTGCTCTCGCTACCCCCGAAGAAGCGCCTTCTTTTTCAACAGCGCGCCGGCGGCATCGATTTTAGATAAAGTCAACGAACTGGCACGAATTTCCGGTTTATGCCGATACCTACTACAGAAAGTGCTCGCACACAAAGGGCTCGATCCTGCTGTTTGGACAAATTAAATCGGCATCAGCCCTAACGGCGCGCCACCTGCGTCCCATCTTCCTTTTTCGTCCTTTCTTCCTTTTCCCCTCTAAAATTGCCCCCGCTAGTTTGTAGCAATCGCACCTCTAACGCGATCTGTGAAATTCCACGGCGAATAACGATGGTCTTCGCGCAGCGCCGCCGAGACTCGCGCGAGGCTCTTCAACGGCTACGCCGGGATCGACGTGAGAGAGAGAGAGAGAGAGAGAGAGACAGGAAACCGAATATAACCACCTGCTCTTCGCAGGACAAATCAAGTGGCAGGGATCGGTTGATTTCACGTATCCCTCGCGCAGCCTCGTCTGAGCGTAATAACGGACAGAGGATACCCATCGAAGGGGCGATGGAGCGAACTGACTGGATGGCGGTTCCTCTCCGGGTAGATCAGCGAGGGTTCACGAAGAGAGAAAGAGAGAGAATACACCATATATAGTCATATACGATGTAGAGCGTATAAGAAAGATTCATAGGCGGCGGACCACCGGGGGGTATCGATTCGACTTGTTAACCTTGAGGGAGGAAAGTGTCGGACCAGTTCGAGTTGTTCGCGTATCGCCGCGGAACGGAAGTCAGATGCAAGCGAACGGGGAAACTGGAGCGCGCGCGCGATCGAATTTAATTTTACTTGCGATAGAGCGAGAGGGAGTGAGAGAGAGAGAGAGAGAGAGATAACGATCCTCCGATTATCTTCCGGAGTTGGCCGAACGGTAGATTTTTTTATTTCTCTTACTTTTCCACGGAAATTTTCACCCCGAGCGATATCGCCTCTTTCTCTCCCCTCTATCCTCCCTCCGGGCGATTGTATTTACGTCACCGTCAGCATTTCACGTATCGTTATTTCATTTTGCCATTTCCGCCGCTTTCTCATTAGTCACTATCAACCGCCGCCCGCGCCCACCCTGTCTCCTTACCTTATTGTACTGTGGTAAAGTCAGTAAAAAAAAAAAAAAGAAAAAAGAAAGAATCTAATCCCAGTGCACGGATAGATGATAGGTGGGCGGGCAGACAGGTGGGTGGTACTATCGATCTATTCGCCTCGCCGCGGCAGCTCGAAGTGCATTCCGAATGCGACGTCTGGAATTCGTCGCGCCCGATTTGCACGCGGGATTAGCCTCGCAAGAGACAGTCTACAGGCGCGTTGTCGCGGCTTTATCATGAAATATTACGGCTGTGCCCACCACGACAGTGTTACAGAGTACAGGAGATAGAGCGGAATACAGAATGGTTGTAAAAGAAAAAAGAAAAGGAAGAAATAAAAAACACACGTAGAGAGGCAATAAAATCCACAAAACAGTCGCAAACGACAGATCCCTTTGCTTACCGTTTGCCTTCAAAATTGTCGGACAGATAGAGTCTGAGCGGATCGGCCGGCGATTTAGCGCAGGCCCGAAATCACGCGCCAATTCTTCGTTTGCCGTCGAGCGACAGACCGCGGAATCGCTGAGAAAATACAGTGCGGTACAGTGAGAGAAACGAGCGTATCGCTGGAACGCGACGCGTTACAATGTCCGTTTCGTGTGTTCTAAATTACGCCGGAGGATTCATGGCAGAGAAAGACACGGCGCATTTCGTCGCTAGTATCAAATATTAATTTATATAATATTATTATGTTGACATATGGTAAAACAATTAGCTTCAATAGCTAAATTAGTTGTAACATGTGGACGCCTAAAATTTTCGCAGTGTTAGCAATTTTAATTGCTGCAATAACAAAGGGACCATTTAACAATTATGTCACACCACGAGGGAAAGAGGTTAATTAGCTAACGGTCTGTGATGGCGGTGATAGGGGGAGGGGAGGGAGAGTAGTGAAGATTATGTAACGTCACATTAAATGGTATAACATGTAAATATGAATGTACCTAATTATCCATTTTGCATCCGTGACACGTCTGCTTATGTATGATGAAAATTCCTAAGTTTTAACACGGTTATTTGCGCTAATAATCGTTTAGGGTCAAATAATGATTTTGAAATATATATTCTTTTCTTAAAGTAACAAGGGGTTAAGTTAGGTTTATGGTTAGCAACGCGCACAACTTTTGGCTTGCAAAAGCACAACGTCCAGATGAGATCCTAAAAGTACTGTTGCACTCTAATCAGGGATAAAATTACGCGGACGGCGTTCTATCGCGCGATTTAGAGCCGCGAGTTATAGTTAGTATGAGACAGGCTTAAGTACTTTCACGTGTACGAGGAGGAAGAAGCGCACGTAAACTCGAGGTGAAGGCGAAAGGCGGTGTAGATGGCATAAATTGCGAGCGCATTCGTTCTTTTCCCGCTTCTAGCAGGAAGAATAAATGTAACGACTTGTCTGTTCCTCTTTGTTGCTCCTCGAATTAAATTTCACGTGACGTGGCTGGCGTTTGATATCACAGAAAATCGTCGACGCACGTAGTACAAAGTGCGTCCCGAAATGCCCGTGGAATACTACTCTCTGTGTGTAATGAAAATAAAAACAAATTGACAAGGATACTCGACTCGCGTAGCGTTCGTCGCACGATAAATAGTTCGCTGAAACTTGAAATTTGCTTAACAGAGGTTTACGCTGCGAGGACGGCCGGGCCGCGGTTGCCTCTTTATTCGCGGTATCCGGCTCTCTCTCGCTTATTCAAGCGGCTCTTTGATTTATACGGAATTTATCTATTTTACGATGCGCCCGAAAGATAAAATATGAATTATTAAATGGCTTTGCTGTCTTTCCGCGAACACGTCCCGTGCTTACCGTATTACGTCTGAATTTTACGAGCAATAGTATTATTCTCGCGCACGGGGGTTAGACTTGCCCGCTGCCAGAAATCCAATTTTCACGATAAAAGCTTCATAAAGCAGGGCGTTTTGAGAGATTTCGCGGTGAAAGAAAAATAATGTTTCCCGACGACGCTACACCCAAATTTCTCTGTAATGAGCGACTCTCCGCTAATTATATACTACGAATACCTGTCTATGGGGAGAACGCAATGGTCGATCGCGCTTCTAAGAACATGGCGAGGTTTCCAGATCGCTGTCACTTACTTTCAAAGGCGGGCACGAAATAAGCCTGCTTAAAGATTCATTAGAGACATATCGATATTTCCGCGAACTTCAAGAAACGATCGCCGTCCGACCTAATTTCTACTTAGCTGTAGGAACTTCTCCGCTCACTTGCGCAACCACCAGCAACAACATTGCGCGACCGAAGTGACATGATTTTTGGAAATCATACGCCCGTCTTCCGGGAAATAGATACAAGGCAAGTCTCGGTTTGTCTTTCGTCACTTGATCAATCTGCGTGATGTTATGAACGAAACTGAAAATTTGATTTATGGAAAACGTTGTGTCTTTATCGTTAAAATGCAGCAAGTTATCGATTTTTCTATCAAATGTAGCAGATCAAATAACAAATAATAATATTGGGTCGGCCGTTGCTTTATTCTCTAACTTTATTTTATAAAACGCTAAAAATTATTTAAAAAGGTCAAAAAAAGAAACGTAAAATAAAAATACAAAAAATAAAAATTGTTAAAAGATAGGTAAAGTTGAGCAATTTTAATCAAAGAGATGAAAAAAGGATGAGGAATGATCATATCTCTCTCTCTCTCTCTCTTTTTCGATGTTACGCTTACGCGAACGTAACTCGTTCCATGTACGGCTTTGACGATGCTTGATTCATTATACGCGGAAAGGTTTTTCATTGAAATTTTTCGGGCCAGCTGCAACGACAGCGACGCCAACAAGATACGCACGGTTCCAAACCTCCTTTTGCCTCCCAACCTCGCGAATATCCGAGCTTATCGACTCCGGCGGATAAATCGCCGAACGAATTCGTGAGAGAAAGGTGCGAGTAATGGATTTTCTAAGGGCACAGAACGATGAGGTGGAAGGAATTAAAGTCTCGATTTGATCAATATCGTCCTTTCAACACCTCCACGTGCACTGTGGTAATTCCACTCCCAATAAAAAGATAATCATCGGCGCTCGGTGGGACTCGCGTCTATTTTGCTAGAATTTATATTAAGGTTCGAAATGACACTTGAAAACTTGATCGGGCGTAATTAGAAATCGTTTGGCACCGCTGGCCTTACGTGCGCGCGCGTCCCTGTGCTCTGAAATTCTTTTCATTATATCATGCCTTTCGACGATGTCAGAAAGGTTAATTAATTTCTACCTCATCCCCAATGGGTAAAATTACTCTCGATGAAAAGAAGAAAGTAACGGTTGTACAAACAATCGAAAAGGACAAGAAAGAGGAAATTGCACTCCCAACTTGAATAAACGTCCCTTTGGACATCTCGATCTCTTTCTCTTATTTATTTTCCGACGCATTGACGAAATCGGTTGGTTCCGTCAAGTTTTCGCGATGAAAGAAGAGAGAAATCGTAGTACACGCAAGGAGAGAGGAAACATTTTAGATCGAAGTGAAAGATATAGTCTTTGTGCCGATGACACTCACCTTGCTCTCCTATCATGTGGCTTAGTGACTTTATTGAAAATTACACTATTGTAATTTGTGACTTATTGTAAATCTGTACACGCAATAGTCGCGATTTTCGTACGCCGAAAGACAAAATATGACAAGCGAATGTAAAATATAACAAATACCCGCTGACAAATCATGCGATTTATTAATCCCGGGCAATTTTCGTGTTAGAATGTAAGGGAAGATTAATCGGATACGAAACACCATCAGGCAAGGTGCCATTGCCATATGACACAGTTCGGATAGTTGATGAAGAAGTTTTTCGATTACAGGACACGATATTAGGAGAATAGCTATCTACACTCCCGAAGACGGGAAACTGATAATGAACTGTCCAGGATGTGAGGCTACAAGATGGCCCGGAGGTCAAGTGCCAGCGGCTCGCAGGGTCTTCCGGTATGTATTATCACCCTAGATTGAGCCATTCGATCATTGTTGGGTAAATCGAACCCTAATTATCCCGGCTCGTATATCGATAAGTCAACGTCCGATCCGAATGCTCGAGAGCGAACAGTCTCCGTAAAGAACACCGGATAAACGACGAGAAGAAATTCGCGAAAAGGGTAAAACGAATACCGGTATTTTCCCATATAGTATCGGCGTACTCTCATTATATATCTCGTAGGCCGGATATAATTAATAATTTACCGGACGCTGCTTATTTAATAATGTAATTAATATTACACGAATGAACGAACGCGAGAGACATCGGGCATCATTCCAGTCAAATATTTAGCTGATTCAATTTGCGCTCGCATACGACAACAACGTGTTGTAATTACAGCTTGCGCCGAGTTAGCGTAATATACGGCGCAGCAATAGCGCCGGCGAGACAACGCGTGAAAGTAATTTGCAAGCCGTTCGATAGCATCGATCTACGATATACAAACCGCGCGGCCACATGTGAGTGATCGAATTTTGTTGCTGGGCATAGATTACGAATGGTGACGATAGCGCCCGTCGCGTTCCTCACCGTCACCTGCATCGCCAGCGTCGGCGTTACCTTGGCACTCGCTTTCCTGGCCTTCAATCTCCACTTCCGCAAGCACAAGTAAGCGCCCTTGTTCGGCATAATTGGCCGAGCACAACGAGATCAAGTTAGAAAAAACATCATCGCGTAGAACGAATATCGAAAGCATCGAAAGTTTGAGTGATGTTTATTGGTACATTTATCGAGTCACTCTCGACGCCGGTGTATTTCCACCGATCGCCGATACGAAACAATAGAAACGTAGCTTTTTACAAATACGGTTATTTTACTAAGTTTCAAAGCAATACAAACGGCAATTCGACGAGCGGGGAACGAGCTGCGGCTCACGCTCGCGGAAATAATCCTTGCCGTCGACGAATCTGCATGCAAATCGTCGCGATAAATCACTCAAATGCATTATTCCTGGATATTGGCAGAAGCATAAAACTTTCAAGCCCGAGGCTGAATAACATGGCTGCTGTTGGTTGCGGTTTGGTCTACGGTGCTGTAATACTTTTGGGACTGGACGACGCCACGCTACCCGACAGCGACGGTTATTATCCTGCAGTGTGCACCGTGAGCATTAACATCCATTATGAGGAATATTAACGTTCTCGATGACACGATCAATATTATCAGTGTCAATTGAGCTTGCATAATGCACGCTAATTATCGCCGTTAGCGTGTGTACGACCTTCTTAATTAAACGTTATAAACGGGTGTTCGATAACCTCCACCCCCGCGATGTCTCGTGTTAATTAAAGAGATGTATATCTCTTGGCACACAATCGTTGAGTGCAGCGCACCAATTTCAAGTGACTTTCCATTCATGCCGCTGTGGGCCACCGCTGACCCCCACGTTACCGCATTTATTATAAGATATATCTTACAAGATTTATAACACTACAGAAATCGTTATTATACAAAGAGGGAGAGGTAACGTGAAATATATGCGCTATGCGACCTGAATGGAAAATGCAATGCATGCCACCGATAGTTCACGCAGAGAAAAAGATGTTTTTACATTTAATATACATATTTTCTTGACTTAGGTTTATTTAATATAAATAATATAATTTAATATCAAATATCATTTTGTTTGAATGAGGATATTGTTGTTTCATTAGAGTGAACCATTTGTCGTTTGATGAAGGAAAAAAGTAATTTTGAGAAAATAATATTTGGTTCTCAATAAAAAGAAATTAATTTTATTATATATTAAATATTGTTTCACTGAAATAAAGAAGTTCCATGATATTTTTCTAACGTAGTGTTACTTCTTTCGAATAATATATTTGTGACAAGCATTGTAATATTTGGATAAATATACAAAAGATACATGTTATTTGACGTAAAGATACGCATTGTTTGGGAAACCAAATAATCCTGTTTGTTGTATCAAACATTTGTTTGTTTACTCTGTTCTGGAAGGAAAATTTGTTTCAATTAAATTCAATAATTTTCTTGAATGAGACAATAAAATTTTTACTCAAACAAATAACATTTCTCATAAGTATATGTTGTTTCCATGAGACAAATTTTAGTCAAATAGAAATTTTAGTCATAAATAAAAATATCAAACCTAATGAAAAAACCTAATGAATTTTTCTCTGTGAGCTAGCGATATCAGGAATGTGCAAGTATCGTAAAAATGATTCCTTCCGCGCGTGTTATAAGCGGAATTCTACATCTTACGCGAACAAGACGAATGTAACGAGAGTTGCGAAAACGCGCAAACGCGTCACGCGCTTTTTCATTCACAGGCAAGAGTGTACTTATTGTCGGCCGGGTTCTCCTTGGCTTTCGGCTCGATGTTCACGAAGACGTATCGGGTACACAGGATCTTCACGAGAAGCCGAAGCGGCGTCGTCAAGAACAAGGTTGGTCGACGCGAGAACAATAATTCTTCGCCCACGTATACGGTGGCATATATGCGCGATCAAACTCGAAACTGATATTTGCGCTGCGGGAATAAACGTTCTCTCGCTCGCGGAATCGGCGCTCCGCCGTATAAATCGTAGTTATCGCTTTGTACTTCCCAGCTGCTGCAGGACACCCAGCTGATAAGCTTGATCTGCGTGCTCCTGCTGATCGACTGTCTCATGGTGACGCTGTGGGTGACTCTGGACCCGATGCAGCGTCACCTGCGAAACCTGACGCTGGAGATCAGCCCGCAGGATCGAGGAGTCGTTTATCAGCCCCAGGTAAACCCGTATGAGACGCGAAGACGCGACTCGATTCTTCATCCGACCGTCTCATCGCTTTCGAATAGAGTTCTATTAATACAAATCCATGTATTTAACTTCAACCCGTGTGCACGAATCTAACGAATCTTCATTCACGTCTACCTTGCGTGTGACTCGTGTAGAAGGTGTTGCGTCAACAAACAGGTCGGTACGACGAGTTGTCTGCTCGACTCGCTGGCAGGCACGCGCTCAAACACGGACTCAAAATGAACTTAAAAGTACGCATGTTTGTAATACGATGTACACCCACTATATATATATATATATATATNATACGTGTCACATACACGGATACTCGTATATACGGGATACATACATGAATACATGCGAATGAAGGTTCCTTAGATCTGTGCACAGATAAATATTGAAACTCGTGCACAATCGAAGGCTCTACTTTCCCTACGAGCTACGGCTGAATGTCACAGCAATACGCAACACAATAATGATCGTTAACGAGCTATAGCCAATTAACTCGTGCCTTTATTTGACTTCGCCAGGTGGAAGTGTGCCGTTCGCAGCACACCAACGGCTGGCTGCTCGCTCTCTACGTTTACAAAGGTTTACTGCTGGTAGTCGGGCTCTACATGGCCTGGGAAACGAGGTAAGCTGCGGGGATAAAGACGTCTCCAAGTCCGTGGGCACCGTGAAGCGAAAGCCGCCGGGTGTTCCGATATGGCCCTCTAATAGAGATAATCTGCTGCATATTTCATACCGTTTCGAAGCGGACCAGACGTTTAGTCGCTTGCGTATCCCCGCGTAATCCTCGCGGCAGGCGCGTTACTACCCCCGCCTTGCTAATCGCTTTTCTCCAATTATCCGTTGAATAGTTTGAAGAAAATTGCCCGCGTATCCTCCAGGTGTTGGCGCACACACACACACACACACACACGCACATCGCGGGTCGGATATCGCCACGGAGATACGATACGCGGGAAAAAAGAGGCTGCTGCCGCAGCTAATCATGATTTATCTGAAAATGTTTTGCTGCTGTAGCTAAAACTTTAGTTACTGTTTCTGTTAGGTGTACAGTTGCCAAATACAGCGTCTACTGTAGCTAAACTTCGAGGTGCCCATACACTAGCTAAATTTCCGTTGTAACATACGGACGTCTACAATTTCAGCTACAGCAGACGTATGTTAAATGTAAAACCTATATACCTAACAACATTAACTAAAGTTTTCATTACAGCAGCAAAGCTTCTGCTGCAGCAGCAAAACATTTCCAACTAAACGATGGATCAGCGGCAGTAACGTCTTTTGTTCCGTGTACAAGTCAAGAGTGTGTCGTTGACGGTTTCAGGCACGTCAAAATTCCAGCTTTGAATGATTCTCAATACATCGGCATGAGCGTGTACCTCGTAGTGATCACGTCGGGTATCGTCGTGGTGTTAGCCAACCTAATGCCCGACCGCGCGACCTTGGCCTTCGTCACCATCACCGCTCTGATTCTGTCGTCGACGACGGTGACCCTGGCGCTACTCTTCCTGCCGCAACTGGCGAACATCCTGGCGGGCGAGAGGGCCGACCCGGTCGTACAGAGTTTCGGCCTCAAGATCGAGTGTAACACGCGCAGATTCGTCACCGACGACAAGAGGTAAGTAATCGGAGAGAATCGACGTGAAACGCAGATGGACGAACGGAGGTAGAGAAAATAGAAAATTAAGGAGCCGCGCGGTGGAGACAATAAGACGGCACAATGGCGCCGTTCGGCACGGCGATAAGGGAGTTCCACTTGGTGGCTAATCGGCCGAGCGGATCGACCTCCAGACGATGTCGTGCCCACGTGCTGGAATCCCCCTCGCGTTCCGTAACAACATCGGGAGGAAAGTCACATCGCTCGACTTTCGTCGAGGCTGTCTACCTTGAAGTCTACTGTCTACCGCGGCTCGCCAATCGTTTCCGAGGCGATCGAGCCGCGTTATTCAGTCTCACGAGGGAAAGACTCGCTCGCGCGACACGGAAAAGTTGTATTGAGCTCTCGTCGCTTCAAAATGCTCCGGATTTACCACCCGCACTTTAGCTTTCCTCACGATTCGCGCGATTCCCTAATACACAAAGCCTCGTGTTCGATTTTCTCGTGAGACCGACTTTAAAATCATGGAAATGGGACACATTGTATATAAGTTTGTTTTTCTTTGGTAGGCCGATCTTTAGTTTGTAATTAAAATGCTCGCGCACGTTTGTGATTTCGGAAAAGTATCGATTTTATCGTCTGGTTTGAGAAATCGACGCGGGTCGAATGAAAAGTGCTCGTTCTCGCGTATCGACGAGCACGGATCTCCAGATAACGCGTGATAATTGACGATAATTAAATTTCGATGGGATTGAGTGTCGAGAGCGAAGATACGCCAGAGTTTCCGGGGTGTCTAAGTGTAATCGTATCTCGACGACAGAGAGTTGCAGTATCGCGTGGAGGTGCAAAACCGAGTTTATCGTCGTGAGATGGCACAGCTGGAGCTGGAATTGGCCAGATTGGAGAAGCAACTGGCGCAAGAGACGCTGGAGCCGTCGCACGGCTCATCAAGCGCCTCGATCCCACAACGAAATCCAAGTATCGGCGGTGGCCTGCCCCTGTTATTGCTCAGTGTTCTACCACCGGTTATTCCCCGTGCCAGTTGGCCATCCGCGGACTCGTCCGGTGAGTGTGAATCGATCGCGATATAGATAGATAGATAGATTCGTCGTGCGAGCTAAGGACAGTGATTCCGATCTTCGCTGAGCGGAAGAGTCGCTCGACTTCGCTTTAGAAATTCAGCTTATCTTTCGCTTATTGAATTAATCTCTCTCCCTCTCGAGATACGACCGGTCCGGCGGATTCGTATCGGCAAAAGTCACAGAATGTCCTCGTACATTATAGAGAAGATGAAATGGTATCGATCGGCCACGTTTCGTATTGTATAATGCCACGCGGTGGGAGACTGACTTTTATCCGCGCAAACTTGGAAGATCCGCATCGATTCCGCAGAAGGGAATAACCGGAGTTTCCTCCGTCGAAATAGATTATCTATTAATGGCAGGAGAGCGAAGTTTTTAGCTAAGAAAACGTAAGAGCGCCAAGAACGTTCGTGCCAAAAGACCCGATCGGCAGATTATCGGGACGAAAGCGAAGAGCCGGGAATAGATATCCCGAAACTCGCACGACGAATCGAACTTCGCCGGTAGGAGAGAAGGAAGGAACCATAAGTATTAATGCCTTTCTCGCTGCGCCGTTTTTCCGTCGATCAGATGTCGGAGAAAGGTGACAGAAATCCCTTTATTGCACGTAATTGCCTGAAAAACGTTCTCCTCCACGTTCTTCACTTGCCTGAGTTGAAGCGTGAGAAGGGAGCTTGAGTTACAGCAGACGTTAGTGTAGATGAAGAAACATCCCGTTTAAACCTTGTTCGAAGTTCCCCTTACACACATTGAGATAGACTTGAGGTTTTTTCAAATTAAACACGCGAGGAAGCGACTATTGTTTTTCTCTCCATTTTTGGCTTTTAAGAGCAAACATGCATGCGTAAATTCAGATGTTTCGATCATTTTCGCAAAGATTTTAGCAATAGTGAGTTAATTATTCACTTTGAAAATTCTATTCAAACATTTTGTATTCACGAAGCTTCATATTTAAGAAGCAAAGAAGGTGTCCGAACAAACCGAAGTAGCTACGAACTACTTACCTTGGTAGAACTTTAGAGGTATTAATTTTAGAAAACTGTCGAAATTTTAGTTCTCCATTAATCCAGCAAATACCACTAAATTTGAAGGATCAATAGAGAATCCAAAGATATATTCAGATACTATTCAGGTTGTTGACCTACCTTGACTATAACACTCTACCTTGGCTATAAATGGTTACTCATTTTCTCCATGTCGAATCATGTAGAAATATTTAATTCAAGAGTTACTTAACATTTGATTATGTCAACGTTCTATTTACATTTAATCTTTGCAATGTATTAATGATGTTTATAATGTTTAATAATGTTTATCAATTCAATGTTTATAATATATTAATAATGTTTGTTAATTCAATCTTTGGTGAAAGGCACATTTAATTCGATACTGAACCGATATTTTTTGTTGTATGATATAAATATTAAAAATGAAGGAACGATCAGAGGTTCACACAAAATATTACAAATTATTTATCAAACAATAACGGATTACAAATACTGGCCTTAGAATAGAGTTTATAGTTCGAATCAAGATATATTTGTTTATTCTCAAAAACTTTTTATCGAACATCCGTTAAAATCGCAAGTGATTAAATGTAATAAACAATGTGACATACCTAGAAATATATCACCGTCCACGTTTCGGCATCCTGCGTCCACCGTCCTGGTTTTCCAATTCAGCATTCTGCTCCTAATTACTCCGTGATTCCAGACACTCACTAGCACTGACACTCACTAGCACTGTCATTCACTAGCACTGTCACTCGCGTAAATATAATTCGATCGGAGAAACGTGATCATCAACTTACGCGATGTCGACGAAATAACCGACGGAGAATGTAAACAACACAATGATACATGTGATCGGCTCGTCGCGTCGGCTCGAGGTTTAATGACTCAATTACGAAAAAATATGCGACGCGCGAGAGTAAAAATAATTGACAACATCGGAAATAAATGTTTCACCAATTTTAAACTGTTGTCGGCCGCCAATCAATGATAAGCACATCCGGTGATCGGGAAATCACGAGAATTAACGTTTTCAAAATATTCCCGGTCTTCGAGCCATTTTACCCTAGCCTTCAAACATTCAATTATCAAATTATCAGGATAGTTGCACGCATGATACATATCGAAAATGTCGCTCGTAGCAATTGGCAATCGTCGATTATTAACACGTATCATTAGATGATACGTTTCCGATTGATACCTTTATGTAGCACCATTGATTGTTTACTCAGAACGATGACCAAACGGCTAACTACAGGATGGATTACAGGACGTAGGATGTAACGACAATTAATTGGCAAAACTCTCAGAACTCTTTCCTTATTATCTACTTTGAATCACCTATCAAAATCTTTAACGGCAATAAGAAATAATAATAAAATTATGAAAGAAAAAACTTTACTGTTGTATTTACTCATTTATACATGTTAATCTTTATTAGATTATTTAATATTTTCTTATCTCAATATATTTTATTTGTAATTGAGTAAATTACATAATTAATATTTTACTGAAATTAAAGATTTAAACAAATTAAATATAAATTTACATTATTGAGCGAGGCAATTGTATATTAAATAACTTTTACGTAAAACCTCTTTTAAGCATCAATAAATAATATAAATAGAAAGAACAATAAATATTCATTTGTAGCATCAAACAGTAATAACCTGATTAATGTTAATATATTATTGAAACGGTAACAGCCTGTTTAATGTTAGGTCTGGAGATTTTGTTTAGTTCTTCAAGCTCGATGGAATTTGCAAGGTTAACGTAAAACTGAAACTTCACGAGCCGAGTTATTTAACGACTGTAAGAGGTCACGCTGAAATAATGCAGTTTTAGCGTTATTCAATTTTCACAGAAACAAATTCCATTCCAATCATCTTAATTAATCTATTTTTTACCGGGCACGCGCAGAAATAAAACATAATTGCTCGATTATTATCCGCTCGCGTCGTTGCGGCACGCTGAGCACGCGTTTTGTAATTGATCTGTTTATTTCCATCCTTTGCGCGCGCCAAAAGGAAATTTTCCCTGAAAACTCGTCGCACGGCTATGCCATTTGCAGTGCAAATACCACACGTTTCGCTCGCGAAATATCCGCCTCTCGACTGTCGCGTGCATGCATATTTACGCTCCGGTAATTCCGCAATGAACGACGCGCGACGAACACAAGACATGTATCGAGTACTTCGCATCCTGCATGTACCCAATTAACGTCCACGTCCAACTTGACCGTCATCGTGAGAATATCGCCAGTATTATTAGCGTGCGGAGTGCCAGCCAGCGCGCATTCGGTGCGTTTCTGATATATCGATTCGGGTCGCGTTGCACTCGCGTCTCCAAAATCCCGAAACCCCTTGATGAGTCCGGACAATTCAGCGCATAAGTACATACGTCGAGGTACGCGTCTACACGCCGACTGCACGTTCCACCCCAATATTTCCGAATGTGTACCGTGACTGATCGAAGGAGGTCAAAGGTTGCGCGCCGTCTATGTACATGTATGCACACAGGAAAATGCCCCGTCGGCGGAAAATAACTGTTTCGCGGGTTTTCTAAGGAATTTTCGAGGTTTTCCTGAGAAAAGTTCGACCGTGCACGACCCTGAGGGAAAATCTCGTTTCCTTTTCCTTCGTGTAACTTCTCACCCGGATTTTAATATAAATTGAATTTAGGCGCCATCGGCTTAGAAATAATTTATACAGAAAATGTCGATGAAAATATAAAAATTTTATCGAGGAACTCTCCCTATATACATATATATACATATATATATATATATATATATATATATATATATATATATNNATGTATTCTCCGCCTCCTTGATAATGATATCCGGAATATATTCGTGCATCACGTAAATTACACATGACATCATATATGATACACCCGTCACATATCTATCGCAGCGTCCGTGTGCCAAACTCATACGCGAAAATATCGATGTATTACCGATCCAGTGTCGCATCATTGTTACAGCGAATTGTTCATAAGCATGTCAAACTAAGAAAAGTTTCGTCGCTGCTTGATTGATAAACAGACGTTACAAGCTAAGTTAAACATTCGAGTTGCGTCACGTCAATTATGCACTTTTCACATGACTTGCAGCTACATTACACACATTAGCGATCTTCTTAGTCTTTAGCTAATTAGTGCAGAAATTTCGAACAATGTACAAATATATAGTACAAGAGAGCCTATTCAGGTCAAAGACGTGCACGATTGGGAAAGGGAGATAGTCGTGTAAATAGCTACATTAGTATTTTACTGCCACGAGAAAAATGTGTTTTCCCTTCTTCCTCTTCTATCAAAAAGCGATTTTCATGCCGAAGCTGTTGTCGTATAATCACAAACATCGATGGTGAATTTAAAGCATGTGTACGGTGCGAGATTACAAATTGCAAACTGATTACAGTTATTGTTTATAATAACACTATTATGGAAAACAGATAATGTAGAGTGTTTGTTCGCTCGTTCTCGCGAAATTGTCGTGATACGGATAGATAGATAAACAAGCCAATCTCTCCCGTGTGACGTGGAATATTCCCCGCTACGGATAGACACGTCGATTCATGACTCGCTTCCGCATAAATGTCGCACCTAAATTCGCACGCGCTTTCGCTTCCGCAGAACATACGGCCCGACGATTAGGTAGAATCCAAGCCTCAATAATCACACGTCCATCATAGTAATCGCTCGACATGGGGTTTCGCGTCGTATACGAGTTAGACCTTGTTGAAATTAGGCATACGTCGCGGTACCGTAGCATTTAGCAGTCAGCCGGACCTGGAACCGGGCGATCCCAGACAGAGTCTGGCCGACCTTTACAAGCTGCACCGTCGCAGGGAGACCGAGGGACCGAATCGCCTAGGCGTTTTTCAACGACTCTTCAGCCTCTTCGGCAGCAGACCGAGTAGCAGGAAAACCTCCACCGCGTCGTTTACCGGTAAGGAAGTATCAAGGAACAAAGGAATAAAAGTTAGATTTAAGACGACACGGTGAACAATTTAACTGAATACAATATGTGCTCCGAAATTATCTATTAATATGTTCCAGATATATCGAAATCGGGAAAGAGCATTCATTATTATTTTATTTCAATTGCAGTTTACATCCGTTAACATGCCGACTGCCGGATTGACTTCCATTGATTGTACAAAAGTTTAACCAATAATTGAATTACGATGGATAAATGTAATTCGAGACGTATATATCTTTTTATCTTGTTTCATTGACTTTTTATTAACCGTGCGATCGATTTTTTAAATGTATAATTAATTAAATTAGATTTTATAGATTCGAGTGTAATTCATTTAACAAGTTGCAAGTGCTTCGAAACATTTTTCATACACGGTGTTTTATGACGTTATTATGCGGCTAAAATGCTCTGGAGCAGGATTTCCTAAACCTGTGCGAACCGCAATCCATTTTTTAAAACGGCAAATATTCGCGAACCACCTAGCTCAAGTAGAAATGATGATAAAGAAGCGTGAAGAGATAAATTGATTATTTATTTATATTACTTCATTGCTTCTACTTTTTAATTTCATTATTTTATACAATTTTATTGAATATCATTTTAACTGAGTGCTTTGTAATTACCAATCCAAGCCAAGGGGATACCTTAGTTCCCGTCATAAACAAATTTCCACTTTAACGTCGAAAATATCCGACATTTTCTATTAGAATAACCTAAGCTTAGCAATTAATTCTTGCTTTTAGAAAGAACGATTTTGCATTTATTGGAAACGCGAGTCTTACCTTCACAACAGTTGTTGTTTGAAGTCGTTGTCACCCCTGAAAACGGAGATATCGACGAGTACATCGAGCCGCGTTCTCGATCGGTTCGAGACGCTGCGGCGGCGTCAACGGTACTTGCTGAATGTCACGTGTAGGCGGGAGAATAGCTGCGTTCCGTAGTACGCTTCTGGGAAATCTGATTACACACACGCGACATTTAAACCTTGTACACTCGGCAACGGTGAATCGTTCAGTAAGTGATATGGAGCCGAAAGGGCCGCTTCCCCCTCCATACGTCGTTCCCCGCCAGTCGTTAGCAGTCTTCTTTTACTTCATGCGACCGGTCGCTGGAAGAACCATGCCAAAACATGAAGAGGAAGCATTTCTTCTGGCCGTCCGCCTACTGAACGATTTACTGTTACCGAGTGTACGTCGCGCGGGCTTGCCTCCACTCCCGCGTTACAGCACGCAATTGTTAGCACGTGTGTCATTAGACTATATGGTCGTTCACTCCATTCATGCGTGAGTAATATACCGCGCGCACGTGTGCAATATGTACCATGCTGGTGGCGTGCAATACGCCAATGTGTAGTGTAGTTCGCTTATCTCGAGTCTGTCAAAACTTTAAAGAAACCGTAACTCGTGAATGAATATACTTCTCTCAGAGACATAGAATAAAAAGCGATCTTCTCAGTTTGCAATTCCATACGCGTCCGTGTTGTGCACTCTTGTCTTGGAAATGAAAGGATAAGCTAAACGTCGTGATAGATTTAAATCGGAAAATCTCCTACGTGACGTATCCTCTCTCATTCGTAATGGAACTGTTGTTTCAACATCCGTGCAATGCATGTTTATTTCTGCATTTGAACATTCGAAATTTACTCTCAACATTTTAAAAGTACTCTCGATAGTGCAATTTAACAAAATCGGAAACAGTTACTGTAAAAGAAAGAAATGATAGAAAATCATACATTTACGATCGCCTGACGATATAATTTTAGATACGCGATTTTGCATATTAGATGACTGTGATATGACTATTTAATTTAGATATATTTTAAATATGACATATGATGTTACAGATATCACAGATATGGCGTTTTGACGGGCATAATCTGCATTTTATTCTTAACTTTCGCCTTTCCTATAATTTAGGAGTATATTTAACATTTATTTTACGGCACGGTTATATCCGCTTGTATTACCTTCATTAGGGGTCGCATCGGCGCTTCGAGTCCATATGGGTTACATTGCCGGGTTAGTGCCTGGCACGAAGGCCGCTTCCACTTGCCAGGTGGATGCCCAAGGCACCCACTCACCTCATGCACGATGCGGTTCAGGACCAATAATTAGTATTACAAGCGAGGAAGATCGTATATTGAGCCTAGGGCTACGTCGTAAGGAAAGTAGCGAGCCTCGAGTAAATTTCAGTTTACCGCCACGTAAGCATACATATAATCTTTAAAATTTCAACGTTTGGCTCAAGTTAAATATCCTAACTTAATATATATATATATATTTATATATTTTATATTTTATATTTATATAAAAATATGAAATCGCTAGTAGTTTTAACGTTTCCGCAAGTCAAAGTTCAACGTCAAACTTTAATGAAAAAATGGCGATTTTTACAAAACGAGAGATCTTAGGAAAAGTTAAATATCCTTGATATGAATAAATGCATAAGGAAGTCGTGATGAAAAAATTCGGGTCTAAATGCGCGACCATTCGGTTATACAGCGAATTACGTTGCTTTAATATCTGCGATGAAATAAATTTGCAGAGGCGAGCACGAGTCAGTCGTCCTCTCGAGAGAAGATACGCGGATCACCTCGGTTCCCTCATCGAATAATCCCAGTGAACAGTTTGAGCGCTATCACGCAGGGTACGTCGGTTCCGCGACCGCATCGTTGGCACTCGATGGAAGACGCGACGAAATCGAAGAGCCAGATACCATTTCGCAGTTCGCGCAGTCCCAATTTCGACGTGTGGGCCACAAGCGAGGTCGGGGTTCCTTTCAGCGAGCTCGCCAATGCCGCCCGAGGTAGAAAACCACCGGATTCCTTACCTCTGACCACCTCGGAGATGAGTCCGGTCGATACGAGACTGGGCAGCGACTTGAGAAAGTTGTTCAAAGAAACCGATAGCCAGGAACAGGCCAGCCCCGTCGAATACGAACAGAAAACTGTCCGGTCGAGTTCGTCGTCCTCTTTGTCCCTGAAGGCAGCCGGTGTCGCGAGCAATTCGGCACCCTCAAAGAACGATTCTACGTCGGAGGCTCCGCATGATGCCGGCTCGAACTCTTGTCAAGAACCGGAGCTTCGTCCGTCGAGTCCAAAGCTGTCAGTGATCGATGCGGATAACCCAGGGGAAGAATCGAGCTCCGATGTCGAGAATCACATCGGTGCTTTCTGCGTGGAGAGGACTGCCGTGTAGTGTGATACATCGTGCACGTGTCTAAATGTGAACCATCATTGTCTTGGAACTTGTCTAAATGAATAATAGAGTTGTTGCCGCTTAAAAAAGACGATATATTAGGGAATCATTCCAAACGATATTGCGATTTTATCGCGTTCCTCGCCCGACATCGATTAAATATTTCGACGTTTATCGAGAGGCAAAGTGGGATAGCGATTCTACCACTAAAAATTCGTAATTATTGTAGCCGCTTAGACAATCCATGGGTCAAATTACAAATCGCGTCTAGATGTTTCGTGTGATAGACAGAGGAAGATCGTCATGCCAGCGTAACGAAGTAGTTAGGGATACATTATTGACTTGCGATTACGCATCTACGCGCAACAATCCATGTTAAATACATGAAAATTTACGATAACACGTTGGAATTAACGTCGAGTATAACGTCTATACTAGATAGCTTCGAATTAATATTTCAAGAACCGGTTAGAACTTCCGATAGAGTCAATTTATAATCCGGGTTTGAACCCAACGAATTAACGATTAACGTTGCTTATTAAGAATTGACGTCATAATTGGTTATTCATTAAACATCGTAATTGAGAGTAGCGGATCGGAGTCTGTGTGCAGTGGAACGCTATAAAATCGATACTGTCAATGCCTCTCAAGAGGAACGTACGCAATATAGATCATCAAAGGGGAGGGTCAATATAGACAACTGGCTCAACTGATTATGTTAACTTTATTCGCGTTCGATTTAACCATGCGAATAGAGTGTTATGATTAAGTGCGAGGACATCACGAAGTTACGTGTGAACATAGATTTCTCGTCCCCGACGTCCGAATGCGAGGATCACGGACCAATCGCAATATAATCTCGATCATGTGTGTTCGTTAGTAACTGTGCCAAAAGAAAAGCAAACCAGGACCCGTAAAAGTATACAACGTTTGTCTTGGCGGATTATAAATGGGACCAACGCTCACGATATCCTCCTTTAAGTTAATTTTTCTTTCTGACGAAGTAATTTCAACAATCTCGATTTGACGCGAGTCGTCGTAAGAAAGACAATGAACACAGACAGAATTGTCGAGGAATAACGCGAATAACGATGAGAAAGCGTGAGAAATGCAAAAATATAGAAAAAACGCCCTTTAAAGTATTTAACTCACGACTAATTGTGCTCAGCAATTATCTGAAGATAGGATACTTCCGCGAAACTGAGAGAACTCCCCAAGCGTCTCAGAAGACAAACCATAAATACTCTTACGGGGCCACAAATCAAAGTGTTCAGTGCCCCAAACCTTTTCTCTAATAACCTGCGCTCATGTGCAATGAAAATATATCTGCTCTCGAAGTAAAGCGATTTAAGGTAAGAACGCCACGTTTTGTTTGTAAAATGTGAAACTGGTTAAAACGTACCGATATTTTCATGCCAGCGAGCGCTAACGTATGCATATAAATATGTAGATAAAACAAATGGCGAGGACATATTCCTGCGAAAGGGTCTCCTTCCGAAATCTTGCTATCCGATTCGTTTCGTTATTCGGATATCTCGATGTGTCAATCATTAAAACTCTATCGACTAAGAAATAATCAGCATTGTGCAAATAAGAATGGCATAATAAAGAACTATATATTCTATCCATCTTATCATATCGGGCATTATGTCGATATCCGCCCCGCAGTCCGCAATCCTTCGATAAAAAAAAAAAACGAACGATGTAACATGGATATTCCATTAGCTTTAGAGATCTTTATTCTTGTATGTCACAAATAAAATTATACTAAAAACTAGTACAGTAAAAAACGACGTTAATTTGTAGAACAGAATAATTATTTACATTATTTTATAATATATCTTATGATTGACATATGTTGAATTTTTGATTAAAAATAACATATCTTTAAACGTATGTTAAATTATATATATATATATATATATATATATATNTTTTTTGTAAAATGTCCAAATAAATGTACACAACTGCTTTAAAATCTATAAAAAATAATTACCGTGTCACCAGCAAATTTCTAAAGACATTTTCAGATAAAATCCTAAAATACGAAAATGTTAATAATAGTCTTTAACACGTTTGCTACTAGCGTCACACGTGTGACGTACCGATTTCTCACGAAAGCCCAACATTGCATATGTGTGACTGTGATCATTTTTTTTATATCCACGTAAACAAACTAGATTTGTTTTATACTATTACATACAAAAATACAGGTTAGGCCGATGGGACGGTTATCCAAATGAACCATGGTAGCAAACGTATTATGTGTAATGGGAAGCGTTTAAAGATTATCCACTGGTCATTCGTAAACATGATGTAATCAACTCTAATGTGTCTTATTCTATCTTACTATAGAAACAAAAATAATTTATCGATTATTATGATTGATTGAATGAACTTTGTCAAAAGAAATCAACTTCACATCTGTTTTAGATAATCATTGATGGTACAATTACACTGACATTCTATACTGATATCCTATGAAATTCTTATAGTGTTATTATCGTACAATTCGATTACTCGCACTATACCTGATTAGTGTATGCTGAAGGCTGCTATATATGAGGCAGTTATTTAAATAAAAAAAAAGCATATAAGCATTTTGAATGACGAAACACTTGATAATTGTATTATCACGTTATTAAGCAAAATATAATAATTTCACCGTTCAAGTGCTCTTATGCTTTTGTATTTAAATATTTTATGTGTAACGGCCTTTAGTACACATTAATCCGATATAGTGCGAGTAGTCGAACTTATTGGCAGAAATGTGCGATGAACCACAACTAGATGTGCGACTGTTTGACATCGATTATTCTAGCTATCAAATTCTCTGGTTAACGTGCACAACCATATGGAGTACATAGAATACCAGATTACTTGAAATTAACCGCACCAATTAAAGAATCATCGCATTCAGTTTTAGTACAAAATACGTATTTAATGTCTGATGTATCTTATTTAATATTTTCTAATATGAAGTCAACATATTTTTACTCAAAAACATTTCATGTTATATTACTTGAATTCTCCGAAAGATTATAAAAAATAAAAATTTTGTTCTTAATACATCTAGTATACCATATTGATATTTTTTTATCATTCTAAATATCTTTAAAAATATTAAAAACATTTAATAGAATTATCACTAATTGAAATTGTATCACTCACAGACAGATATCTTCTATAGAAACTCACATCTAAATATGACATCCAATCTAAACATGAATAATGTGAATCCAAATGTTAAACGCTTCCTATTTAAAAAACTATTATAAATTCGATATTTTCGTGTTAGAATTTTCATCTCAAGATATTTTTAAGAAGCTGCTAAATAGTGTCATGGTAATAATAGAAAGTCCTAAATTACGGAAGAAGATATAATTAACAATTCCTAGCTACTCATGATGATACACACAACGTTCATTCGAACTACAACTAATTTATATACATGCCACGATAATTCATCTTTTCCTGTTGATCTGACACGCTCAACTATTTCCAAAGAAAATACATTACGGAGTACGTGAATATTCTAAAACATTTTCTACATGCCGTAGAAAAGAAAAAGATAGACAATAACGAAAAGATAAGGAGGACAGATAAAGTAGATAGAAAAGAAGAAAAGATAATAATTCAGTGATATAATGTTCTGTAATAACAATGGATTGATGAAAACGATATCGAGCGCGTAATATACAGACGAGAGCTTATAAATAAGAACTATAATGAATGCATTATTTTACAGAGTTTTAAGAGAATTTTTTACATGTTTCACATGTATCCACATGTTTCATCCCCTGTAGCTATATCGGCGTCTGAAAACAGTTAACGCACAATTTTCATACTTAGTCTCCAATAGTAATACAAGAAAAAGATTATTATACTAATATCCGATTCAGCTGACATTAGTTTCTCTTTTGTGTGAGTTATAAAATTATCGCCTTTCTCTTTATATTGACTTATGAAGAGTTTAACTACTTACATTAAGAAGTTTTTCTAGAAGTGTTTCCACCGGTTTATCTCGCCTCACAGTCGCCCTTAGACTTTCGGTAACGGGACTTTGCTTCTCCTCCGTATTTGGCTTCTTCTCCGGACTCTTCAGAGCATTTCTCGCCTCTATCATCTTACGATTCAGAAAAGCCATACCGTGTACTCTCAGGTGTTTGTCCACCGCAGCTTTATCCTCGAACACTGCCATACAGACGTAACACTGATTAGCTATCGTTGTTTTCCCTTCTGCCTGTAAGTAGTTGTTTACATCAGGAGCGTAAGAGGGATTTTGATTCATATAACTGATAGGATCTTCTATTCCGTGAAAAGCCTTGAGATGCATCTGCAAGCTAGGCGCGACTACAAAGTTCTCGCCGCACTCCAGACATATCAGGTAACGGCCCTTCAATCTGTGATTGGTAGCAATGTGTTCTCTCAGATCAGACATGTCGGTGCATCGTTGACTGCATTTCTTGCATTTGAAATTACCCTCACCGTCTTCCGCCGTCTCTTTGTTCACGCACAACCCTACGGTCCCTTCGGACACGCTCGTGTCCTTTATCTCCGTGTGTTTCTTCGGTGTCCATCGACGCTTTCTTTTCGTCATGGATAAAGTGACGTCTGATTTTCGCTTCTTTGTGTTCATAAGTTTCTTGTAATGATTCATAAAGTCAGAGGGTAGCTTCGTTAGGCGCAAAGCAAGTTCCACCAATTGATACTCGTGCGAATGATTCTCGGTAAAGTGCATCTGCAATATAGGCCAAGAAGTGTTAATCTTTTCGTTGCATATGTGACACAGGAACTCGATAGTTCCCTCTTGCGTATCAGTCGGCCCGATTATGGCAATGCGTTGCCTCTTCTTAGCCACTCTTCGGAAGAGAGATTTCGATTTTGCATCTTTCAAGAGCTCATATGTCTCCTCGACCTCCCTGTAATCAAGTGCATGTTGTGGAATTTTGGAAAGCGGAGGAGGTTTCGGTATGAACGACATACATGTTGCATTCTCATTCTCGGACTGTATGTCGCACGGTTCTTCGACGAATGGCTCAATGTTCGGTTTGCATATTTTCCTGATGTCAACTACCTTTATAGAACCACTTGTACTTGTCTTGGATACCGACTCGGAATTTGAAATTTCTCTACTTAATTCGATGGGTGAATTTGTACGAACGTCCTTAGTTTGTAGAGATCTTTCGGGTTCCGCCGCGCAGGAAGTGATCGATTCGTCATTATTTTTATGAGACTCTTCTACCACTTTCGTCTGCTCCTCGATAACAGATTTAATATCAATCAGGTTATTTCTCGTATCTTTACACAATAGGTCTTCTTTTTTATACGTAGTTTTCATCACTTCAGATTGAGACGCTTGAGAATCACATACAACCTCCATCTCGGTTACAGTTTTCGTACTTGTCGCAACGTTTTTCGGTGCGACTGCCTTTAAATCAGCTATTGATCTGACGTTGAGAATTTTTGGTAGCGATTCTACTTTTTCTGAAGAACTTACCACTTGCGAACTGTCAACAACAATGGTAGACGCGGATTTATCGGGACTTATGGTCCACGTGTTGCCCGTATCGTGGGAGCCGCGTTCAAATATCTCCGACGAAATGGTTCGAGCATTTATGATTCTAGGTATCACGGTACCGTCTTCGAGCGGAGCATTTACAAACGTGTTTGAGATATTTCCGGTGATGCTGGATTTTCCAAATTTCGTTACGAAGTAAGTATCGGCCAATACCTCTTCACTAATGATTTCGGACAAACGTTTCCAGTGCTTGTCCCGTAAGTGAGCACTAAATATTAACTTTGCATGGATGTGTTCTACAATTACCATCGGACAGAAAGGACACTTGTACCATATAAGTTCTTTAATCGCGGGGTATTCATCCAAGTACGACATAAACTTTTCATAACGTACAATCTTGTTATTCAATTTGGACATCACCAATCGTATTGGTTCTGGTAACGATATATTCGTGTGCATATCCACGTAATGCTTCATGCAATCCTCGTTCGAAGAAAATACCAAGCAACATATTTCGCATGCGACTTTCGTGATACAGTGCATGATAGCAAAGTGTGTAGTGATCGACTCTATGTCCTTGAATCCATCTATCTCACAAATTTTGCAAGCCAATATGCGCTTCTTCGACATGTGAAAGCAATGAGTCCATATGTGGATTTCTAGAAATTTAGCTTCAATGAAACAGTTCTCACAGTCTGGGCAAATGTAAGGTGACTTCTTCATGTGGAAGTTTTGATGCGCGATGAACCGTGATGAAGTGCCATGATAAGATTGACACTGGTGACAAATATATTTGTAACAGAAGCAATACATTTCGTCGTCATCAGACAATTTTGAAAATCCAGCAATGTAAGACTTTGGCTTCATAGGTTTACGGCATGACGGACATTTCTCATGTAAATCCGTCCTCTCCCAATTACATTCCTCTAATAGTGTGCCTTTCTTCTTGTTCTGGGCCTTCGTATCACGCTTACGAATATAACTTTCCAATATTTGTTTGAGAATATCAACAGACTTCAGTTTCTCTCTAACAATATTACTCGGTACAAAATTCATACTGTTCTTTATTTCCGCGGTAACGTGGTTTAAATGAGTAATTCGTCTCATCAACTCGTAATTATCCAGGTGACAAAATTCTTCCATCATTTTCTGTTTATGCTTGAACATTTCTTTGCACATATCATGAAAAACCTCCTTTGGGGCACGATCTATTATTTTTATATTCATGTAGAGGTTCTCCCCATTTTCCTCTTTAACCAATGATATAACCTCGAATGAAGTCTTCTCGGGAGGAATTCGCGGAAGTATCTTCCGAGGTAGTTTTGCTTTTAAAGTTTTCTTAATATGCGACTCGCAGCTGGAACCACTGGATAACTCAGAAGGAGATGGCGAAGGTGTTAAAAGAGAAATGTCGTTGTGAAGTGAAGTCGCTTGTTCCGTACTTATATTTTCGATTTCAGCAGAATTAATAGACGTTGATGTTGAAATATTCTGTTTAGGCAGCAGCTGTATCGTGCCTTTCGATACAGTAGTTGTAGTTGACAAATTGGGCGAATTTTCTAGATCATTTCTAATACTTTCTGAATGTTTAATAAGATATTTCTTTCCGTCTTTAATCAGAAATGGACCAACTTGTTTATTCTGTGATGATGTGCTGGTATCCGTACTGCTGTTAACTGATTTGTTTGGCATCTTTCCAATTATCATTACATCTTTGTCGGATAAAGATATAAGTCTCTGTAAATTCTGTTCCAGAACGACTTCATTGGTATTTGAAATATGCTGAGAAGGCAAATCGTTAATAATTGATGTGACATCTGCTTTTTTTGAACTTTGGACAGTTAGTATCTTGGAATCACAATTTTCTGTTGATGTATGTAGACTATGCTCTAAATGATCCGAATTCGCTTTAGGTAACTTGACATTTTTAGCAGGAAACGGAACATCGATCTTAATTGGATTGTTTAAAATTTTGGCAATATCAGTTTCTATTATAGGTTTACTGATGCTATTTCCTGCAGTTTCCTTCACAGATGATTGCTCTGTCCTATATTTCTGCGAGGAGCTTTCGATTAATTGCTTACTGATAGTACTTTTATTTAAACTTTTTTCATTCACTTTCACCGTAGTTGATTTTTTAAGAATCATATCCGTCTCAATAAAATCTTTAAGAACTACTTTTTTCCTCTTACGATTTGTCCTAGTCCTGTCAATTAAATGCAAGTTTAATACGTCCCAGGTTGAATTTTTAAGAACAGATGGAATCTGCTTCTTTGGTATATAGCTCATCGATGGTTCTGGCTCCAAACATTTTGAGGCAGGGCCGCAATCTACAAAAGCGATGTCAGTGCAAGGATTATCTTCGTTTTCTGACACATTTTTGTCTGAGACAGCATTGGCAGAATAATTATTCTTATCTTTATCGTTAAAAGTGGTTTCGACAAATTCCATAGCAAGAAAGTTCTTCTTGACATTAAGTGTAACATTAGAATTGGGATCCTGATCATCTTCAGACTTTTCGAAAGTCTTAAAAATTTGTCGACCCTTATAACCTTTCACAACCTTACTTATTATATTGTCGTTATTTTTGTCATTGTCATTAGTTAGTTTCCACCAATTATTAATCAATTTGTTCATCCTTAACCAGTCCATGATATGAACATGTAATAGAAATGTGTATTCCATAAGTGCTTCACATGCTATCTCTAGTTCAGGAGTCCAATCATTATAGGTCAAATCAGTAGGTAGAGGCATTAACATTATATCAGATACATCTATCGAGCACAAACCGTGCAATTTCATGTGTTCATAGAGTTGGCACTGGTTGTAGAATACTTTTATCACTCCCCATTTTTGAAAGCGTTGATGCTTGTACCCTCTTGATCGCAAATATTTCCGCTTTTCATTATCTTTTTTCATGCATATAGAACACGTAGAACCTGTTTCGGTTATATGAGTGCATACTGTCCTGAAACAAGTATGACACCAAAGCCCAAAAATCCAACTACGTCTCTTATAATGATCCTCCAAACTGCTTTGAAAACGGAAACTGCAACCGGAATTGAAATCATATAATAACTAAGACAAAACGTAAAATGCCATAATTATGTTAATCATTACAAACTGACCAGTCTTTGCATTCTTCGCACACATATAGTGGTTCAGATCCCATAATTTCTTCACTCAAGGATGCCGGTGGTTCTGTTGGCATATAAGGTACACATTGCCTTCCAAATGCAGCATATTGCACAGAAACCTCATATTGTAATCCCCACCTATTTTCAACTCTACGGTTTTTACGCAATATTGGTGTAATTATAGAAAGTGCTTTCGAATTTGGGATATCCTGGAAACAAATTGCCATTCTTAGATAAAAGACATATTACACATCTTTACTTTTGTTTGCTTCTACAAAAATAAAACATTGCGCACTGCACGTTGCAATTTAATTAACATCTTCAATGGTACTATTATCTCCCCCAAATACTAAAAGCATTGCCCTTTCCATACACAAAAAAACCAACATGTTTCCTTATCTATTAAAGAGCACAATAAATGCATAGTACAACGATCTTCTCCATTTGTGAAATTAAAATAATTGCTTCATATGTTTGGTACTTTACAATAAGCAATTCTCGTAGCATATCTTTTCTATTATATGAAACCTAATGGATAAATCAACACATTGTTGTCAACCAAAGCTCTTCAGCCATGATATGCCTTCGACTGACCCGTTGCTTAATCGGTAAAACAGTATACGACAGAGCTGCTGCCCATGGTGGCAAATTATTGAAATAATTGTTCAATAATAAAGAATAATGTTGAATCGATTAAAAGGACACTGAAAAGTTGGTCGACATTCGTAACAATATACTCTTATGTTACAGCTTAATATAACAGAACATGAGTTCAGTACCATTATTTCACAGGATAACCTGATGTAACCAGTGAGGATCCTAAGGCCTTCTTGGACTGTGCTTCCAATTTGCTAACCACCTCCTTAATGTGATTAGTGAAAGACCTCTCAAGAAATCCTTAAACTATTCAGAAGGATATCAATTAGATGTTTTGGCATTTTTCGTAATATAAAATATATCAGTTTATAATGCATATGCTCTGATAAATTAATAAATCTGTATAGTAATAAGTATAATACGTATTTATGTGAATATAAAACATGTGTTATATTTCTAATATATTGTTTATTTCTGTGACATCTCCACTGTGAAAATGATATACTTTATTCAGTAAACACTTAGTAATAGTAATATTACATTAATATTATAATTTTCTACTAAACGATATAACTGTTACATACAATATAAGTATGGTATATTGCACTTACATTGTTATGTGAAAAATTGATATAACATTGATGTGATCTTACTGTTAAAGTCTATACATGCTTTGATATTTATAGAGTTACATATATTATTATTTATGCACGATGCCAAATATGTTTCTATCTATATTGTGCATGTGTGTGTATATATTATTCGTATATATCAATACTATTCATATATATCAGAACACATGCATTTACTACAAGAAAAGAAAGATATTAGTGTTAAAATAGATCATACCTGAACAAGAATATGGATACAATCAAGTACCTATGACTTTCCTTAACGTTATTCTTTCTACTTAGTTGATTGGTTGCAAGGAATAAACCAATATTTCAGCAATAATTTTTTGGCATTCTGGCACCAAGCATGATCTGAAACGAGGGTAACATTTTACTTATGTTCTAGGAAAAATATATGGTACTATAATGTTAAGAAAGATTCATTCATTTCATGAGAAGAATCACAGGGGCATATAACTGACATGTATATTTATCTATACAATAAATTTTTCTTAATAATTAATACTAATACATGTTCTTTATTAGTACCTCGTTCACAATTTGTAAACAGAAATTGAAAAGTATTCTTATGAGCAATAAATAATACCTTTTGTATACAATATTTCTGAAAGTATGCAACTATGTCTAACCTCACAATAACCACCACCAGAGCGCGCTAGTTTGAAAAGTATATTTTATGCATAACTATCATGCGATATAGTTCTAGTTTTTTTTTTTGTTAAAGACGACAAAGAACTGCTATTTTATCTTGTGCAACCATCATGAATAATGGAACATTGAAGTAGCGAAGCTAGAGAATATGTATACTCTCCTGATACACATATAATGTAAAAAAAAGACAAATAAACATATACTGTAAGAAAAAAAATGCATTATAGCATTTGTATTTTTTTTTTACTCCACTAAACATTACAATCTGTCGCATTCAAGGACATTCAGTAATTTTGTGAAAAGCGATGAAAGACCCTGCACGGTGTGAGACCAGTGGCTCACCCCAATGGCTTCTACTCACAGGACGTGGCAACGCTTGTCGCGCGACAAGAAGCGACACGGTAACCAATCAACATGTCGTTTTTCCACGAGAACTGAAAGTTTATTGACTGTTGTGTAAACAATTTCATTAAAGTGTTCCGTTAGAGGTTTGATGTTACTAACCTTATCTACAAAGATAGGTGGGGGTTTTTGTGGTTTGACTTGATCTTCCAATTCTTGCTCCTGTTCTACATTGCCAAAGACTTCGAAGCTATTGGAGGTGGGAATCGAAGCACTTAATCGATAGTCTTTTATCTTGGCTTGTTTCTGTCTTCCCGTTGCAACATCAGGACTATTTCGAGGTCTTTTTTTGTCAGTTACAATCTGTCAGTTATTGTCCGAGTTATTTGATTATGAATTGTTTCGTTCAGGCAGTCTCTGGTTTCTTTACGAATTGGATTCTACCGAGTTAGTGCGCTCAAAGAGTTACTTCTGGGCCTGTTGATTTGCTTGTTCTTTTGTGAAGACAATTTTTTAAGATTTCGCTCGCCATTTGCGGGATTTGAGGTAAGTACTGTTCTATCCCTCTCTGATTGACTTTGTTTAACAATATCTGTTCAACCAATATTCTTATCTAGTACTGTGGCCAGGTACTCCATCAGTGATACAGAGCAGATGCTGGCTGATGGCCTGTGAGAGCCTGCTCGTTCACTATCCGATCGTACCAGTTCCGGGTATCCGAGCCCCAGATTCGAACTTTCTTTTCCTGTATCCATGTCATTTATAGCTAGCCAGTCGTCTATAGCTAGCAACTGGTTGCTAGTTTTGGTTCACTCCATTTTATTTCGCCGTAGGTACCCTACACACGTAGCGCGTCGAGCATTTCCCAATCCATCACCTGGGGCAGGCGCCTGATGGGGGACTACCAACCCCATATGGTTGACATTTGTATATAATAATATATGTAAAAAAAAAATTCATGTCATTCAAAAAATTCCTTTCATTCAAAATAATATACGTAAAAAAAATATTCGAGCTCTTATGTAACATAAGGTATATATACCGATTTTGGAAAATAGATGTTGCAAAAATTAATTTTGTTAAAAAATGAGATGAAGGAATGAGATAAATGAGATGAGATAAAGGCAATTTACCAAATACCTAATCATCTATAATAGCCCCTCTGTAATTTCATAACTTCGACAATATCACTAGCCTAGGGTGTCATTGCACAGCTTTTCTACCATATAGGTTGCTTTCCAGCAAGAGATACATGTTGACACGTGTCTAGTTATATCTGTTATATCATCGTTTGTCCGTCCTTCGCATTTAATAAAGAAAAAGATAATAGACGGTACAACTTCTGTCGATTTGTGTCTCTTGCCGGTAAGCACCATATTACACCTGCGCAATGACGACGTAACGATAACGAAATTGTCAATTATGATTGGTCAATTTCTTACGACTTAAATATTCGAGAAGATAATCGAATCTTTAACACAAGAGGAAGAATCGAACATCGATTAATTGTAATTTGGTAAATTATTTTTATCTCATATCTATTTATCGCTGGTTGGATAAATGGCGATCTGTTGACTTAACCCGACACGGGCAGCATTCCAGTAATCTTTACAGTACTGTATCTATAGTTCATGTTACATATACTGTAGTTTACAATAACATAGCGATAACGTTTGCAATAACAATTAGCGGAACACTTCCCGAGTCGGATCGAGTCAACAAATCGAAAATGCAAAAAGCCATACCTCAGTGGAACCGAAGAGTAGTGTTGGGGATTAGCCCGTAAGGGCTCTTGGAACTAGTACTGTGTGTGAATGTGAGAGAGAGAGAGAGAGAGAAAGAGAAAGAAAATTCGTCTGTTCTTTTTAGTTGCACTGTTGAACGGATGCAAAAAGTTAGAATGAGACAAATATATTTTTGGTCTGTTTTTTTATAGCTGCACTGCTGAATTGATACAATAAGTTAAAATGGGACAAGTATATTTTGTCTTGTTCTAACTCATTGCATCAGTTCAGCAGCGCAGCTAAAAAGAACAGACGAAATACCTCATTGGATTCTTCGTCTGTTAGTAACGTCGGTTGCGCAACAATAAAGATGTCGTTTCATAAATTTAATCCGTTCACTGGTAGATTGAAGCCAGCTACAAATTTCCAACCGTTCTATCCTCTCGTAAGTGAAAACACTTTTAGTTTCTAATTGGTTGTATACAAACAGTACAAGGATCACGTCAAGTCTGGCACCTTTTCGCCTGAGTACACCACCAATCAATAGACAACGAACTGCAAGCTTCATATTTCGTTTTATAATAACGTCAACCTTGAATGTTGAATTGTTTCCGTGGGATCGCATATTCTGCTGTTTTTCTCTTCTTCTTTTCTAAACTGTGTTCGCATTTAGAATTTATAATTTTTTGTTGTTACATCTGTGTGCATGTATATAGGATAGCCAACCCAGCTATGTTCAATTATGGACATGACTTTATATTCATGTAACAGCTTATATCTGATCTTCTATTTATGCAACGTGCTATAATGCTGATTAGTATAATGAATGAATTATAATCGTTAATGCTTTAGAAGAAAAATTATCAATATCATGCTGCAGTTTGCATGATTCATTCTATATGAATATCCTTTTTGTTTCGACGTACTATGAAGATCAATTGTTATTCCAGTCTTGATACATGAATATTTCTGTACATATGCAAATTCTGAATACATAAGCAAAGACCTTAATATTATTTCAGTCTCCTACTGCTTTACAGAAGACAGAACAAATGATGATTTACGACACTATCAAAACTAAACCAGCGACTATTACAGCTAAAGCTGATTATTGCACTGATAAGCCACGCACATTAGATCCAAAGATGTGGGCAAAATATAAACATTTCCAGGCAAGTATATCATATGCTGCTGTCAATTGAATTGCCAATTATTAAACAATTAACAATTTTTATTATTTGCAGTCTGATCTTAAGAAGCCAGTCTACTTAATGGGTGGCAGAAAAGATAAGGTATTATTTGGAATTACTGTTGCATTGATTGCTGTTAGTACAGCACAATCGCTTTATATTGTCTTTACAAAGTACGTGACGTTAAAATAAGAGAATATTGTAGATGATAGATACATAGTTTTTTCTGGCATTATGCATATTGTATTATGTACATTAACATTATAAATGTTAATGCTGGAAAGTTATATGATAAATTATATTGAGTCGAAAGTGTCATGTGTCTTGATTAATAGCCTGTTTCTGTTAATATTTAACTTTCTTTTCAGCTCTTCCTTTTGTATTTTGTACTTAGCCTCAGGATGTAGGATTTAAATTTTATGTCAGATTCAAGATGTGGTTATCTAACTTACAAAACTTAGTAGGACATACATGAATTAAGTCAGTTACATCAGTTTCATTTCCTTTATTTAGTGAAACAATATAAAATCTCTTCTGTAATAATAATAATAATTTATTTCAACTTCTTTGGACGAATGTTATTTGTATGTCCGCACTTCTTTCGGCAATTGGTCGCAAATGGGTTAAGGCGAGCATAACACGACAGATCATTTTGCCACAGTTGTATTATATTTGTGCGAGTATACGTAGCATTGGCTCAATTAAACCTTCTCGAAGGCGAAGTACGAGATGAAGGTGGATTCTATTAAAAAATTATTAACATATAGCTTGTCTGTCATATCTATTTTATAACAGAGTTTTCAGGTAATTATGTGTAAAATCTGGCAGGTAGTTTCTGTGATATTATATCATCTTATATAAATTCTGTAAGTAAGTTATACATAGTCGTACCTTTTTGGATATCATAATCAGAGAGAGTACATTCAATATCTTCCAACTACTTCCCAGCAAAAATGAGTCGCTGAGTTCAAGTGGAATTCTCTCCTTGTCTTTAATTTTAGCCTTCACGTATTCAATGGCATCAAAAGCTTCTACCTCAAGGATTTATAGTTTTACCCATAAGGGTTCTCACAAAAGTCTGTACGATAGCTTATCTGAAATGAAACAGAGATTATAAAAATAGCGCACTGATCGCGATAATTATAATACGAGAGACACAAAGAACAAGCTCTTTTTTTTTTATAAATATATTTATCTTAAATCATTGAGATCATATAATTGAGACTATTTTCAATTTGCCATTTCTATAGAGAATATTACAAGGAAGAAGGAAATTACAAGAACAAGCACTAAAAATTTACAGCAATTCAGGAAACTCTGATATTAACCCAATAAAAATCGCATGTATGCGTGTGATAGCCACATATTCGTATCTGTTTTCCACGTCATTTTATTTAAAAACTTTTCAGTTTCTGTAAAGGACAGTATAAAAGGCATGCCAAAATCTTGATAAGATTTAACGATAAATGAGAAACTTAATTATGGAAAAATATTTAATAACTTGGCATATTTACTATTTCGTCAACTGGTTACGATTAATACTTAATCTAACAAATCTAGTCATATTTTCGTCGACTTTTTCGCTAGAAATATAACGCGCCACATCTGATGTTTGTTACGTGAGGACCGAAAGGTATTAAAATAAGGGAATATATTATAAAATATGTGCTCTTCAGTTGCACTTTTTGTACTTTCCACACAGTTCTTTTTCCTTCTTACCTCTTCTTGCCTTCTTGCTCTTTGCTAAATTTCGACAATATGTACATTCCAATTTATAAGTAATTACAGAATGCAATAATATATAATATTACTAATAAAGTGCAGCTAAAAAACAAATTTATTATTATATATACATAAAGTAAAGGATATAATTGCATGGAAAATATATGTACAAATATATAAAGAATATCAGAATAATTCTAAAATAAGTAGTAAATTAAGGTACTAATGTAAGCCTTGTATGTGAAATATCATTATCATTAGTTACTTGAAACTATGCGACTTAGCTTATTACATTTTTAACAAATGAGCAAATCGTTGTAATTGGGGTTTGTAGTGCGCGCGCTGTATTGGCGGTTGATACTTCGAGAATCTCAATCGTTGCGATACGTGCATATGTTCAGTTCGAGAATAAGTCGCGACGACGAAGTTTGGGTTCGAGAAGCTGCTTCGTAATTTTCGCGATTTCGTCTCGACGAAGGTGAGTTTCGCGCGCGAATCACTACTGAGAGTGTCGAAAATAAGTTTCGTGCGTTTGTCGTAACAAAATATCGTTAAATAGCCGTCGGAAAGTAACACTCGCAGAACAGTGCGTCGGGAGTGCCGAATGTAATATCGCACATTTGCCATATAATGGCAGTTGGAAGTTCAAATGGCTGTATTTTACGCCTTCGAACCGCCTCGAAGTAGAGCCTCGTGTACGAAATATCATCGGGAGTGCCGAAAGTGAGCTTCGTGCGTTTGTCGTGGCGAAATATCATCAAATAGCCGCCGAAAGCGAACACCTCGCGAAATAAGTAGTTGAAAGAGCCGACATAATGGCGTGCATTCGTTGTCTTATGTTATTAATAATATGGAGTTCTTCCGAGATATATTGTGGCGTCTGAATATTCGTCATGTGAAATACAATGTCACGCTCTCGATGTGCCGAAGGCAAATTTGGTAAGTATCGATAACAACATTACAACAGATGATGCACCTGTGATTTCCATACAGGGTGTCCGAAACTTTTAATCGCTCGTGTGAAGGTAGCACGGGTTAAACTGAGTAGAAAAGTCTTCTATCACTTTGCAAACAACACGCAAGTTATTAATTATGAAAAGTAGTCCTGTATAGAGGATACTTTAATTTATAATTCAAAAATTTGCACGTTATTTGCAAAATGTTAAAGAACCTTTTTGTCCAAAGTGGCTTAATTTACAAATATCCAGCTAGAAATGAATATCGATTTTACGTCAAATCGACGTCGATTCGATGTAATTTCGCTTGATATTCACATACACACACACACACACACACACACACATATACATATATGTGGGCCTGCTTTTCCTAAACAGGAAGACTCACAATTTCGAATATTGACTCGCAGTCTGCTTCTCTGTTAATGTAAATCAAACTTTATTTTTCCGCTATTTACAGTCTGCGTGTTTCTTACAATCGTTGTCCGCCATTAGTCTATCTCTATCGCAGGGCCCTCTCGTAGGCCGAGCGACTAGGTTGGCCGGTAACCTAGAACGCCTGTATCGGTAGCGCGAACAGTATCGATAATAAGGCCTACATATATATACCCGAGCAACACAAATCGATTGGCTAACCGTTGTTCAACGTTTGGCCAACGTCCGGCAACGATCGGCCAACCAATTGTTATTCGGACAAATATTTTGGAATACTGAAAAGTAATGTTACTTTTTTCGGAAAATAGAACATTACAAACGTATATTACACGCACGTTATTTAACTGGTCGCTATTATACGGAAGAAAATTTTAGTTCATGTGACTAAATAAGCACCAGACTAAAATTCGTTGACAAGAAACTGACATTTCTGTCAGCTACTGACAGCTACGAGTCGAAATAAACAATGAAGAAATCAAGGAATTACTAAGCAGTGGGCCAGGCCTTTGAACAAAGTATCACGATTGCGAGATACGTTCGCGTATCTCACGACGATACGTTTTTAAATTCACGTTTGCAAGTGTGAATGTATAGGTACAAACAGGTACATTTGTATGCGTGCGTGCGCACGTATGCGGCTTTCTAGGGAAGATGAGGGTCTCGCGCTTCGGACCCGAGCGATATGCAAATTTCAGTAGTAACCCTTAAACTTTACGTCCTGACCTAGATGCTCACCTGTCTGGGTAGGGGGAGGGAGGGGAATAGAGAGATGTCTCACGATTATACGCGATTTACTACGTCGCCGAGGTTTAATTGCGAGCGCAAGGTCTTTGCGATATTGCCAAGGCAGAACAGAACGTGTCATTAATAGCAAGTGGCACTTGCTTTCCACGTTCTCTTCGTAAGTAATTATAACCACGAGAATTCGGTGAATTGAAAAGGGTAGATGCAAATTTTTTCAACAAATCCATAAAATCTTTCAACATTTTCTCACCCAATTCCTCCCTATTTTGATCTTGTAATTTAACTCGAAGAAATGTACATTACATTTCTTATTTAGTAACATCAAGCGGGAGTGAAAAAGAGCGAGTTGAAAAACTGCTCCCAAACTGCCCTTCGTCAACATCGGAAGCAAATATTCGCTTTCACGGATTTCCAATTGCCTTCCGAGCACCAATTTTTAATTCACCGATGTCTCACGGCTTCGACTATTTCTCCATTTTCTTCCGCTCGTATGCATCCGCCGGATGCATTCCATAAACTCGAATGACTTTCGCGATACTCCGGACGAGGAACCGGGAGCTTTACGACGCTCTGTCTCCTTGAACGTTTCGTTGGATCGCGCGTCCTCCTTATATCACCTAAGTCACCGCGTTCCGCGCTTCACGCCAGGGAATAGATAAGGAAGAAAGCGCGGGTGGAGCTGGCGAAAATGCGAAAAATGCCCCATAAATTTCGCCGTACAATAGAGGACCATGAAACCGTTGACGGCCGACGATCAATCCACCGTGTTCGCGTCTTAACGGATGCGCGACACTTGTTGGCGCGTAACTCGCGCTTTTACTTCTCGATCGACAGATTACACGAGTATCCACTTCTTCCACTTTTATTTTCAATTAATTCTCTCCGCGTCTCGACTATTTCCAGTGGCGTGCATCCGATGCTCGACCGATCTGTTAATTGGAGTGCAATCTCGGAGAAATTGATGAACAGTGAATTTCTCGCTCCCCGGAGATTCCCCAGGAAGTGAGCACGATTTCCAATAGAACCTTACGAATCGTACCGAAAAACATATATATATATATATATATATAATTCCCGAGTCAATAATACAATGATATATTAACCTGAACGCAGTATAGATACTTCGTAGGATATAATATAAAAAGACGGAAAGAGAGAAGGGTTTTAACTGGTGTTACATTTTAATTTGCGATTTACACAAAAGCGTTTGCGCAATATCAGCGGAACGGCGCAAATTAAAACGCGATAAAAGCGCGACCGGCGCGAATGTTCAAAATACATATCTTGTATATTTATGTAACGAGTTATGTAGTAGTAGCCGCGTAATGGGATCCGCAGCTTCTTACTACCGAAATGCAAACACGGTGCCGCGCTCGCCGTGTAAATAAGCTATGCTTACCGACGAGATTGCCGGCCAGGTACGTATCACCAATCATTTGCCTAGGCTAATCAACGTGCGCCGCTCTTGTGATGTGGCTTAAATTAGAGGACGGCGAGCCCGGATCGCCGTGGCTTCGGGTTGCATTTGAATTGTGTATGAGTAAGCCTGGATTAATGGTTAACCCGACACGTGTAGCTGGCACGTTCATTTCAGTTTGACCCGTGATAAACTTTGCGTAATACACGGCCCACCTCGCGGGGATCCCGCGTAGATAATCGTTATCGCCCGATCTAAAAGACCCGATTATAATTAACGTCCGTTAGCGTTGTAATCCCTCGCGTTAACTCGCCGGTGCTTTGTTCACGAAGGTGCTGCGTTATTTATACACGAAGATACCGTATTTCTGTACACGCTTTCTGTGTTCTCGGTATACGCGTGTATCCGCGAGATCGTAAGTCTGCACTCAAAGAGGGTGTGTAAAGCGGAAAGTTGAAGTTATCCAATCTTTCATCGCACGTTTCATCGACCGAACTTCGTCGTTCTCCCTTTCTCTCTCTCTCTCTCTCTCGTGATACTTCCTACTGTATACGCGTGCTACGTTCAGCTGATAATAAATTCGCGCCTAATCTTTTCGGCGGAGATTATCGAAAAACACGTCGCTCCAAATCGAACGCCGTAAATCCGCAAGGGCGGTAATACGATCGAATCGCATTATGCCCGTGACGTACACGACTGCCCTTTATTTACGGAACTATCGTACGAGCTCCACGGTAATATTTACTCTTCTCTCTAAAGGAAAGAGGATTTCAACCACGGACAACGCTGCCGCTGTTATTCTCGAGAGTCGTCGTAGTGTTGTTGTTCGCTCCTTCATCCCTCCCTTATCCGTCGTACATAGTATTTGGCTAGGGGTAGTTTCAGCCTGCCGGTGGCTGTGCGAAGAGTCCCTTTCGAAAGCCGGAAAATCTCTACTGTAGATGCACACGCAACAGCGTAAGCTTCTTAATTGATCGAACGAGATTCTAGTAACATCTACTTTCCTTTTTAATTAAACAAATACACATTTGCATCGAAGAAACAAAAAGGAAAGAGAGAGAAAGAGAGAGAGAGAGAGAGAGAGAGAATATAGGAGATCACAGAGAATTTAGTTCACATAGCAGTTCTGAGGAGGAAGAGAATATTAACGATATATTTTATTATCGATTAAAAATTGTCGTAGCTAATCGAGTCATCCGGACGATAACCCCGAATATTATATCTCGCCTTACGAATAAAAGAGACGCGCGTTTTTATCTCGTACATTCGCGAGGGACGTTCCCCGGAACTTTACAATCGTCAACATATACACGTACAATACGTAAAGTACTCGTAATCTAAAAGAAACCGCATCGCTCTCTAAGGACAGATAAACCGCGCCTTTCGACCTACTCAGGATCTACGTTGCCTTTAACTCTGCATTACCGGCGTTCGTACGGTCGCGGGATATGAAAGTTTCATAACCGAGGGCGCCATGCATCGCGCTTCCGTTACCCAGCGCGGGTACTTCCGTTCGCTTTAATAAAATATTTTTATTTGCCATAAAAATAGACGACCTCGGGCGGGGGGGATCGCTAATACCGTCGCCTCGGAAAATCTGACGTCGAGCGGTAAAATATCCGCTCTCGCGCGCGCGCACTTGCGTCACACGGCGAGACCCGGTTTTTTGCGAGAGAGATAGAGAGAGAGAGAGAGATAGAGAGAGAGAGAGAGAGAGTTACGCCAATTATAATAAAAAGTTCGTCCCTGCCGGGACACGCGTACCGAACAAACGCGACCGATATCCCAAGTACTTCCATCGATCGGACGCATATTCGCAGCGGTCGTGCGATATCAAGAGGCAAATAATTGATTACGCGTGTCGCGATGCAACGGGGCCAACAGGAGATCGGGTCATTCAACCCCTCTCTTTCCGTTCCTCTCCCCCCTCCCTCTCTCTCTCTCTCTCTCGGTTCCATGAAAAACCATCAATGACAGACCGTGTCCCAGGTCACGGAATTGACGTCACGACGGCGGACGGCACGGGTTGGAACGGAGGGTGTGCGAGCGTCAAACGTAATCGCGTTTACGCGTCTCGCGGTCGCGCCAGGTGGGCGATCTTATCAAAACGATATAACTGTTGGCACATCGGTGGCAATAGCCGGGACACGAAGACAGGTGGAGAGTTTACCCACCGAGCCGAACTAATAATGGAAAGAGCCCGAGCCCGAGTTAGCAGGATCATTAAACTGGCCGGTGCCTCGCGATACACCGGGCGAAACTGAAGCCTAACTTAACGCGAACACGGTTCAACCACGGTTAACCTTTCATGACACTTTGACCCCGAATCGCGTTCACTTGGTAACACGCGCGCGGACCACCATCCGGAGCGAGACTCGAATTATCGGCTTCGCTCGCCGCTGACGCATAGATTGTAACGTTTTCTCGGCGCGAGGTTACTTTTGTGATATTAGTACTGTTCACGTCGTCCCCCTTTACGTTTACGCGGCGGGTTTACTCGGTAATAATCGCGGAACGCCTTCCGAAACGACGCTGAAATTAGCGGTTGCTCGTGCGGCGGACGCGCGCGAACCGTAATCGTTTCCCACCGTGGATTTTAGTCGAGTCGCTCGTGTCCATTTTCCTTGATATTTTTCCCCCTGTTCGCTTCGCGCGTTTATATCTTTCCGTGTGTTCGTTCAAGCCGCGTCGCGTCCGCCTCGTCGCTCGATCGCGGAAAATCGGAAGAGCGCGATGAAAAATCGCCGCGAACCGGACTTAATCGCAGTTGCGATCCATGGCAATAATTACGGTTCGTTCATCGGCGGACCGCTCGATCGTCACTCGCTTCTGTCTTGATTTCCGATCCGGATTTCCTGCGATTTCGCGTTCGCGATCTCGGCGGTTCCCCGATAGATGGATGAACTCGATAGATATAGCCGCCGACGACGCTTCGATGGCACGTCGTGGATTTTTAATTTCTTGTGTGCATTGAAAAAAAATTGCTAATCAAGTAAATATTTGCCAAGGAGTATTGGAGTAATTTATTTTATTTGGATTAAGTAAATGTTATTTGAATGTAGCACTTTTTCCCTTTCAATATACCATATTCAAGTAATATTTACTTAATCCCAATAAAATCAACTACTCCAATATTCCTTAGCAAATATTTATTTGAACGTAGCAATTTTTTTCAGTGTGTATTGTGTTATATCCTCCACCTTCAACTTTGTTATCTTCGTAAAACTTTCGGGGAAGAACCGTAACGAAAGTTGTTTTTAATACATTTTCAAATCGAAACTTTTCGATAAAGATAGCAGTTACGTGTTCAATAATGCTATGCACCGATAAATTTAGATTCGCTACAATAGCTAAACAGATGTCAAAAGAATCTGCAAAATCGATGTAGATGTCAAATTTCGACTTCGATTATCGTTATATATCGTCATATATCAAATATGTGTTACATGTATTTATCTCACATTTATAGTATTATAATTCGCTAGAGACGTGAGATTGTCAGGTTTATTTATTGCTTCATAATATCTTGTTTGGAAAAATAATGCTGAATAGCTCTAATAAATTGTCGCGTATTAAATTAATTTTAATTGATTTATATATAATTATTAAATATTAAAATTATATTGTTGTAATTATATATCTCTATAATCAGTAGCTATACGATGTATAGGATAGTCAATAACAGCTATCGGAACGCGTATTAAATAACTAAACATTATAATATTGTGTATAACATTACCGTTGTATTACATACGAGTCGGATAATTAAATACATACGTGTGTAAGGCTACTCAATTGTAAGGCTCGGCGCGCCGAGAGTGGTGTCACAGATCGCGCGCGCATCGGTCAAAACAACACACTCGCGGACAGATGACGTATTTCTTATCACACAAGGTCTGTTCGTTTTCACTGTACCGCTGAACTAGTGCAGTAAGTTGGAGTGAGAAAACATATACTTGTCTCGCTTCAACTTATTGCACTAGTTCAGCGGTGTAGCGAAAACGAACAGACCTACAGTCTCAGACGCGGAAGCGAACGCAGGTTATGTCGAACGATATATTCGACTCTTCCGCGATTAGGACGTGTGTAAGACTTATTACGATACTTCGTGCGCGTAACAGTGATGCTGCGATCATTGCTGTGTGAGCATCTTGAAATTTAAAGGGTAACTACATCTCGCTTCAGTTTTGTCGAATTCCAAAGAGAATACACAATGTAACCTCGTTTCCTCGATACCTTCGTATCAAAAATACCTTCGTATTCTTGATTCGTTGAGACCGAATAACCTCTCTCTCTTGCTCTCTCGTAATTAATTAGAAAAACTACTTTTCGTTTCAGATCTGACGGAGATTGCGGTTACACCATGGAGGTAGTTGCAGTTCCGGTGGGCGCTGATGCCGTACCGGAGGATCCGGTTCGGGCCAGGCAGGGTCGGTTCGAAGGTACGCTTACGGAGTGCCGCGTCCTCCTCCACTTAACCCTTTGCGATCTAAAGCTGAGATATAGTTGTCAGTGTGACTTGAATTACGATCGCAAGCGTTAACCTGCCAGCATCTACGTGCTAGCGCACTTGTTCGTTAATTGGAATCCTTAAATCTTATCAACGAGTCTATTCATTTTTGTTACAGATTCGATAGTAGCGGAACGCAGCCGATCTTGACTTCGAGACACTTCGGTGAGCGAACATCAAAATAAAGGTGGGGGGGGGGGGAGTTTGTAAGGGACAGGAATTCATAGAATTTCGTTGCAATTGTGTGATTTGCTTACAGTTTTTTTGCATGTTGGATTTTTATATGTATGCGTTGTGTATACATAGCTTTAAAAGAAATACACTGCTCGAAACACAATTAAGGGGTCGTTCCTTCGAGTGTTTACATTATCTTTTATGTTTGAAATATCGAATAATTCTTTTACAATTTTTAGTAATATTTTAGTAAAGTAATATTTACGTAAGCAATATGTACATTATAACCGTTTTACTTTTATTTTTAATTTGAACTTCATCATTATTCTACAATATTATTCATTTAATGCGACTCCGTAATTATTTTGTAATAGTATATAACGCGCATTAAAATTGCGCCATCGCATGCTGAGCACGAGGTTTACCTCGCTTGCGTGAATTTGGATTCCGCGATCGTTGCGGATAATAATTTATACATGTAACAATTTATTTGCACCGCGATTATGTTTTTTAGATAAAGATATATCCCGTTAAATACAATTCTCTGCGAGATGTCGCGAAGGTAATCTTTAACAAAGTAACACGAAGCTATTGCGCGTGAAAATTTCATTTCATTCTTTATTACTTCGTCCGTGCTACATTGATAGATTTTGCGATCGACATTTAACTGCTGATTTTTTGCATACATATTCACGTCGTGGTTACATTGTTCGTAGATTTTAATTAATATCTTTCATTATCGGTTTTTTACCGTACAATTCATGCCGCAAGTATATTAAAATGACATGAAACGTCACGAATTCGCTGAAGCGTATTTTCAGTTCGCGATATTTTTACTCGCACTCCACGACTCGCGAGTGAATTTTTTAAATACAGAAATTAATCGTATCGCAATAAATATGCGTTTAGTAAATTCGCAAACTTCGAATTAAGATGACATCACGAATTCGCCGAAGCGAATTCAGTTCGCGATATTTTCACACGTGATTCGCGATTTATGAGTATATTCGCGAGGATATTCCTGTGATGTCAGAAAGTATCGTATCGCGATAGATATGCGCTCACAGTAAATTCGCAAATTCCGTCTCCGTCTCTTGTTAATCGAGTTCGCAGATTTCGCGTCGGAACACGTCGGAACTTTTCATTGATGCCGTTGGAGATATTCGTTACACCCCGTTAAAATATAAGCATTAATCGCGACGTGAGTGTGAAATGAAGTGTGATGAAGTGCAATCAACGTGGGACGTCGCAGACTGGACACCCGGAGAAGTTCCGGATACAAAGCGACGCGGTCCGGGTTGCAGCAGCGGGCTTCATCGGTGATTGGACCTGGCTGAACATCGCGGTGAGTTCACACAGGAAATGGTGAGAGTGGAATTTCAATGCTCACAAAGCATTATTATGTAATGTAGTGCATGCGTAGCTGCAAATCGCATTGGTTTCTAACGAAAAAAGCTACCGATATTGTGTGCTGCTTTCGAAATTGAACGGTCGAATATTTGAACGCCCTTAAATCATGAGTGTGTGTGTGTGAAATAATGATTATCTCTGTTAACCAAATCCGGATTATTCGTGTTATCCAAACGATTAACACTTAATAATTTGAGCACTTCTCTCTCATGCGATTATATTCTGGAATATATTTAATTACCCATATGAGACTTAGGGAAAACAGGCGGATCGCTATTATTGATGTGTCATTTCGTCCATAAAAATACACGTAATTAATTAACCGCGTCGCGATGAAAGACCGAGAGGAGAAATATCGTATCGGCGGTGATGAAATTTATCACCGTCGAATAAGTATTTGCGTCAAACGGCTGATACAGACCGGCAACGTCGGAGCGTTGGACAATTACGAGCTCGAGTCGCTCGTGTTCGGGGATACGTAGCAGCCTGTACACGTACGTGTTATATCAGTATACACGGTACGATGTGCGAGCTGGATCGTCAGCATATTCCCTCTGCCTGTGATGTGTGCTTTTCTTCAGTTTCCTTCTGCTTTTTTTTTTATTATTTTCGTCGAAATGAAACGATATATAAGAAGTAGGACGGATGAAAAACTTAATTTTCTTTGCGCGCGACACTTAACGCACTTTTTGTCTTCCATTAGTCCGCGTTTTTTTTCCTCATGACATTCCTACTCGCCGTGTCGCGTCACGTCGCGTGTGCCGCTAACCTTCCCCACGTTTTTTTGCCATTATACCCGTCCGTTGGCGCTGTTCGAGCGTAGGCACGAAACGCGATGGTCGGAATGGCAGATTTTTTCGCCGTGTCCGCGAGGCGAAAGGAGTCGAGGGTCGCGTCCATGCACGCGCGGGGGCGATATATCGGCTACATCGGTCGCAGGGTGAGAAGGGGGGAGAGGCAGAAGGGAAGAAGAGGGCAGCGTGCGGCAGTTTCGAATGCGCGCTGTAGGTGCAACCGTCTGCAGGTAGGACACGCAATGCAGTTTTGTGGAAATTGGGTCAGCGAGTTTTCGGGTTAGAGGGAGAGAATGAGAGAGAGAGAGAGAGAAGGAGGGAGAGAGAGACCGAGAGGAGAGACTGCGACGGGCGATGCGGGGGGACGAAGAGAGACGGGAAACAGGGTCGGGGCGACGAGAGAAATGATCGCGAGGGTGGAAGAGAGAAAGAGGGAGAGGGCGGTGAAAGGGTTCGAGGGGGTGAGCGAGCGAGCGAGAGAAGGGAACAGACGCGTAGCCCGGGTTGCTGGACCAGGGTTGGGAGGGTTGTCGTCGTCGTTGGTGGGGATGACCGCGAGATACTGTGGATCAGACCGCACGAGGAGAACGCCGTTGCCGACGGTGGATCGAGGAAGACCGGGCAGACAGGGAGGGAAGGAGCCAAGGGGGAGTTAAATGTATGTAAATTAAACGTCCCTCGACTTTATTTAGCGCGAGGGAGTTTAAAGGCGCGCATGGAAGTAACTCGCTCCTTCCGCCCCCTCCCCCCGGCGGAATACTGTCGAATAAGGTACTCGCGAGCGAGTAGCTTGCGGGGGGGCCCCGCAGGGGGCCTCTCTCCACGCCGGAAAAGGGATTGCATACGGCCGTATTCAGCGCTTGTTTCCTAAGAGCCGCGACTATAAATCCAGAGGAGTCTTCGTTCCCGATGCTCCTTGTATATGAAATTAGGTGGCTCGCCGTCTTGTGGCTCGATCGGAGTTAAGTAGCTCGAAACGGATCTCGCGAATCACGCGTCGCTCGCTCAATCTTCGCCGACTCGCACCGTTACTTCGTGCACCGTCGCCGAGTTTAGATCGTTACCTCGCTCTGCTCACGATTGACGATTTGTCTCGAGCTGGAAAATGATCGAGCACAGTAGACGTGTTCTCCTTACCGAGGACCTCGATACCTTAGCACAGTTAATACTAGTTCTCGGCTGGTATCTCCTGTTCACCCGATCACCTTATCGATTCAGAAATCGTATCGGTGATCTCGCGTTCACAGGATCGCTCGTCACCACCTAGCTCGTCGCCTCCAAGTACAGGATTGATACTCCGTCTCGGGTTCTCCGTCGTCTCATTAGCGACGACGAAAGGACGACCGTTGCGTTCTGTAATTAACGTTTCGGAGCGCGGAATGGGGGCGCACAGAGACCGTATTTGGGGGATAGGGTGGGGAGAGGGGGGGACGAGGCTGGTTCGGCACGAATGAAACCGGCCGGTCTTCCTTTGACTCGCGAAACCAGACCGGAAGCGAGCTGCCGCACCGTCGGCTTTCGGTGTAAAACCGCGCTACCAGCACGTCATTTCGTCTCATACAATGTGAACGGTGTGGCGGTCGCATTCGCGGCGCCGTTTCCACGTCTATCACGATAGTATTGTAATAGCACGATAAATGAGCTCACCCCCGCCCCCTGCTTGCCTGCCTGCTGGCCCGCGCCAACGGCCACGGCAACGATTTCGTGCGGAGCGAACAAACTTCCAAAGCGCTGAAATTGCGACTTATTGTGCCGACGCGGAAAATTGCGGATTTTATCTCTCGCCTCGTGCGCGCACGCGAATTGTTTCGCGCCGGTAATGAGACGCGCGCGCTTCGGCGCGAAACGTACGCATGCACCGCGGCCGGGCTGTTGTTTGCGAGCGTGCCTATCGCGGAAATTCCACACGCGCTGATCAACAAACGCGAAGAAACGAGGCTGTTCCGCGACCGCGGTAGTAGCGCGATCCGATAACGTAACAATTTTAATAGCGACTCGCGGATATTCGAGAAACATCGCGACACTGAACACACTCGGGAACAATCGGAAAGTAACGAGACTGCTCCGCGACAGTGGTACGGTTTGAGTTAAAGTAACAACTTCAATAGCGAAGCGCAAATATTTTTAACCCTGAGAGTAACATCCGCGAACTTGATGCTGAGGTAACAATCATAGGTTTCTTAGGTCTACGTCTCGTAAAGAAAAATGACAAAAATCGTGGTTTTTGCATGTTTTTGGTCTTTCGTAAACGATTAGCTCTCGTTTATCAAGGTTCATGCGGTTACACCTTCCACAAAGCGGATTGGATCCGCTAGAAGCATTTTGTAGTTTTTTCATCTACTTTTTTCGACTGGGCACTTTTTATTCCCGTAATAAGTTAGAAAATATTTAAAAGTAAATAAAATATATCACAAAATATCTAAAATATCTGAAATATAAAATTCACTGCAGTATGTATTTAGATAGAAACTTAAAATTCATCTGTTAGATATTCAACTTACTGGTTTTCTCTCTCTTCAAGAAAATAATATAATAATATAAATATATAAAATAATATGTAAGAACGAAATTAAAAGAGAAAAATTTTTTTTTAAATTGTGTTAACACGTTGACTGCCACAGAACTTTTCACGATTCTGGTCTAAGAAGCCAATTTGATTTAATCAAGTAATGAAGCGACGAGATAACTCGTAGTTGGCGTCCTGGGCAAGTAAATAACCGAGATATCTCGTAGTTGACAGTCAATGTGTTAAATAAAAATCAAAGAGAGAAAGAGTTATTCGTTTTTCCCCTTTAATTGGTCAACAAATAATTACAAATTATTATCATTGTTAATTTGTTGCAAATACTTTGTCAAAAAATAATATAGAAAATTAAAAAATAATCGAGAAAACGTGACGTTAGTAACAGGATAGATCAGATCCGAGCCAACCTTGTTAGGCGAAGGTTACGTCTATTACCAATTTTTATTTATTGTCTTTGTAAGCCTGGTTGCCGCCAAGAAACCATTTATC